CNAGAGAAAAAAAATAAAAACGCACCCGTATCATTAATTCTTTTCAAATGCACACCGTCGGCCTGAAAGATTAACGATATGCACGGATGGCTAGGTTTATTTTGCCTATAAACTGCACAGTGCAATTGAATAGTGCGGTATGAATAAAGAAGGCTGGCTTGGTATAATTAGTCACTAGTGTTTATTGTTGAACTTGTCTGAGTTAATCAGTAAACGAACGGTGGGCTTCTTTTAGACGTCTTTTCATTCATACCGCACTATTCAATGCCATAAACATATACAAGCTGAGGCAAACAATGCATTTCCGTTAATCAAATTACTAAGAATCCTTTATAAGGCCGTTTGCAACGCTCATCGTCATCATATCATCGATGATTCTCCAGCGTACGGAACTAAGGTAATATTTTCTTCTAGTCTTGGCTTTCGTCTCACTTTCTATACTTTGAATACAATTAAATATTGTTTAAACTGGAAGCATTCTATCTGATACAATTGCATAATTGGTCGCGCCAGTCTTGTTAGTTAAGCCAGAGGATTTCCAATAGCAATACTCAATTAGGCGACTTCAAGCCTGGGGCTGGATTAGCTGGAATATACACTTCAATGCCAATTCTGTGTATTGCTATTAACACGTGTCATAGTGTAGCTGCCTTCATATACCCCTGTCTTTACTTTGCAAATCATTCACTTCACTGTGTGTTACTTGGAAACAACGGAATACATTATTGAGGTATTATTATTTTATTTTCCTGGCTTTCCTTTCTCTGTGTTCATCTCTCTTGGCACATCGTTCTTAGCAGTTTCATTCAGTTTGCATCTTTCTTGACAACTGCATTCATCTTTCATCTTATTTCTCTTAGCAGTCTTCGCTTTCTTTGCAATGGCATATGTTCTCATTAAAAACCCTGGTACCAAACAGTGCAAATTGTGCCCACACCCGACGTTCCTAGTCGAATTGACTAAGCACTTAGTTGGCGTGCATGGCAAGGACTTAGCAGAGGCCAAGGAGTTGAACAAGCAGAAAACGGCTAATCAGAATGCCGTGGTCCGTATCATCTACTCCAGACATGTTCTGCAGCATGCATTCCCATCCTTTGGGGAGGATGCTATCTTCACTGGCAAGGACGTAGAAAAAATTCTACATGGCCATGAGGATGTGATGGACCAACCCTGGCCACGCCAAACCGGGACAGCCGCTCCTCTCAGTGCAGTGTTCCGATCCGCCCCATTACACATGCCTGAAATGCTACCCTTGGCTCATTCTGCCGTAGAGTCTCGACCCTCTACCAGCCCAGGTGTAGATGCCCCCCTCCCGGCTCACGCATTTTTAAATTCCCTAGATGTCCCTGGTGTTTCTGCCCCCCAGGAAAGCTTCACTTCTGACAATGTCACCCCCGCCCCTCCTCCTGGCACTGCCGCTTCCACTTCTGGCACAGAGGCTTCACCCTCTAATCTTCTACGTGCCCCTTCTCCCTGCAGCAGTCTTTCCTCGAGGGCCTCCGAGGATTTAACGAAAGAGGATTGCTGGCTTCGTTTAAAGAAAGTAGCCCTCGATATGTTCCCAGTGGCCCATGACAGAGAAATCCCCAAACAACACACAGTCTTTGCCACCTTTAAGGACCTCGCCGAGTTCAAGCAACTAGGTGGCGTGGATGATAAGGGCGTGCTGGCACCTGAGGGCAAAATCATCATCAAGACGGTAACCTCCTATCTAAGGGACCTTAAATTGCACAGGTACGCCCAACATTTTGTGGAATGTACCAGACATTCTAAAACGTCCACGAAAGCCCAACTGGTCAAAATTCAGATACAGACCATTGCAAGTTTTATTTTCACTCTGAATAAGAACTTTGATCAACCGTCTCGTTCGTCAAATGTCCTAACAATGACCAGTGACCCGGCTCGCCTGCGAAACGCCATCACATCTAATGTCTGGTTATTTGTTTAAGAAAGGCCCACTACCAAACCGAGGAAATGGAGTTTTCGCTATGCGGAGGCACACGAAAGGTCAGGTGGTCATTGATAATGGCGGACAGTATCTTTCCGGCAAGGAGGGGGATGCCAAATATTATGCAGGCTCTGATGGAGGCATGGGCTACATGATTAAGTTTCGGTTTGGTGACAAGTGGCACTACAGAGATGCTTCCACGGACGACGGCCACATGGGGCGGCTGATTAACCACAGCGCCTGTTGCTCCAACGTCAAAGGTAATCCCATTGATATCTTTGGGGATGGCAAACCGGTCATAGTCTACACAGCGACCAAGGTAATTTTTCCAGGAGATGAAATTCTACTTGACTACAATGATAGTCAATCATCTGCCGAGTTCCTGAAGAAATGTCCCGTTTGTCAAGGAGATCCGCTCCGAAATAATGCACTGGTTGCTGAGCCGGATAATCAACCACCCAAGAAGCGTAGGAAACGGGTCATTTAGATTGTCATCATTCATCTTCTGGCCTCTATTCTTTATCTTCTGGCACAGGCTTCACCCTCAATTCTTTTACGTGCCCTTTCTCCCCTTAGCAGTCTTCATCATTCTCAGTTTTCTTCGGGCACAGAGGCTTCACCCTCTATTCTTCCACGTGCCCTTTCTTTCTCCATCCCAGTTTCCACCTTGTCTGACGACTGGCAAATAATAACATGGGCCCCATAAGAGCTGCTGGGCTGGACGACCGTAGGGTAATCCTAACCTTATCATTCGGATTTTGGACGATCCAGCAGCTGTGAGTAAGTAAAATGAATTAATAGTGATTAGGCTGTAGGGACCACCTCACCTTGTCTGACGACCGAAGAGACCCAGTGGTGAATACTGGGCGGGAAGTGCTGGAAGGTCTCCCACCTTCTCTGGCGACTGGGGAATCTCAATGGTAAATAATAACTTGGGCCCCATAAGAGCTGCTGGGCTGGAAGACTGTAGGGTAATCCTAACCTTAACATTCGGGTTTTGGGCGATCCAGCAGCTGTGAGTAGGTAAAATGAATTAATAGTGATTAGGCTCTAGGGACCACCTCACCTTGTCTGACGACCGAAGAGACCCAGTGGTGAAAACTGGGCGGGAAGTGCTGGAAGGTCTCCCACCTAGTCTGACGACTGGTGAATCTGAGTGGTAAATAATATGGGAGAAGATATAGGTCCATCTTCCCGTGGTTCCTCCCGTAAGTACTGCTTTCAATACGAAGCAGTGCGACCAAGAGGCCTATCTATTAACAAATTACACTTTCCGTAAAGCATTTTGCCTGAGGTACACCATAGTTCACCTAAAATATCTTTCCAAGGCATTTAATAATTGATCAATATATGATATATTATGGACAATTACTACATTTATTGACTGCGACGTTTCAATGAGTGTTCTCTCACCGTTATCAAGCAAATAATACAATCATAAACATTATATATAGAGAGCTAGTAACAACAACTAATAACGGATTGAAAGGGACTATCGACCGGTGGGTTCGTTTTGTCGCATTGCCCAACTTGCCGCATCGTCCCCAACTGCACAAAAACGACTTGTAAAACGAAAAAGGTTTCTGATAAAATCCGGAATGGCCAATCGAAAAAGAATTCGAAACTAGTTTTATGGTCAAATCTGGAAGAAAATAAATACCAAGTAGGCTACAAACGATCAGAACCGTAATACACAATAAATAAGATTGGTTATAACTTGCAAGAGTTATGTCCCTCTACTGTGTGCCTATAACGTCACACACGTGCTAGACAAAATGGCAACTGAAAGTAGAAATCTTCTCAACAGTAAAACAGAATTGTCAAGCGAAGAGAAATTTCAACTTAGATGTGCCCTATAATGTAGCACTTTTACGAGGAAATTGTACAAGTAATATTGCTAATTTTTCAGCGGCTGGTAAATGGTCAATTACGTCGTTATCGATAATTGTATCAAACTAATATGTTCTTAAATCCGCGTATAATGGACATTCAAGCATAAAATGTGCTATAACAAGAACATTAGTACAGTATTAGGTCAGTGTAAAGTAATTATGTGCTTATTAAAACAGTAGCGGTGCATTAAGATAAGACAACAATTAAATAAAACAACCAAGTTTCTTTTAAAAATGCACCCTGCCACACATGCATAATACTATGTGAATGTGAATTACAGAACAGATTTCCGAATGTATATACCAAACGACTTGTAATTGCCTATAAGCGCAATAAAAACCTTAGTAATTTCTGGTCCGTGGTAGACTCGATCCCATTGAATCCAATAATACTTGACCCCCCTCTCTATTTTCTAGCTCATTAAATAAAAAATATTCTAATCCTTATATATAGATGTTTATCTTTTCAGAACCTATTCATACTCTCTTCGTTTAGAACTGGTAACAAGAAAACTTTCATATTATAGACTTTTGTTTATTGTAGATACTCGCGGTTGTTTTTTAA